ATATGCACACCCATGTTTATTGCAGCTTTGTTCACAATAGCAAGGATTTGGAAACAACCTAAGTGCCCATCAACAAACGAATGGCTAGAGAAGCTGTGGTATATTCACACAATGGAATACTATGCAGCATTGAAAAACAAGAAACTCATGCAATATTATTCAAAATGGTTGACTCTGGAGAACATTATGCTGAGTGAACTATCCCAGTCACAAAAGGACAAATATTACATGATGCCACTGTTGTAGAATGGGACTGTCCTTGGGGTTGGGGAGAGACTGAGTAAGATGGGTTCAATAATGTATACTGCACTGAAACAGAGGAGGGAGAAAACTGTTTAAAAGAGATATGTGACTAGGTATTTCTGTCATCACAGGAGTCTAGAGCGAGGGCTCCATGGTGGAGGGGACCTGCCTGGGGGAGGGTTTGTAAAACAATGAAAGAATCTTTTCTTTTACTTTTCCATAATTTTTGACTCATGTACTTATAACTTGTTAGTTAAATTTGTGTCTTCTAAGTTGCAACCCCCCCCATGATACATCTTCAAGGATATGAACACGTACGGCTAAGCACACTTAATAACAGTGCATCCAAATTCCAAAATCAATCTCCATAATAGTCTATGTGTTTCCTACTGCCAAAGGGGCCCTTTAGAGAAGTGAGAGAAGATCTTCACCCTGAAACCCACAGCGTCCCTTTTCAGCAGGAAGTAGCTAAGAGACTACGCCATCCCCTTTTCCTTATGAATCAGGGTAAAGTCTCTCTCAGGGAGGAGTGATAGGGAATGGCAAAGGACACACTGACAAAGGAGATTAATCAGAACTGACTTTGATAAGCACTGTGGCAATTGGACAATTAAAACAGACATTCGGATGGCGGGGGAAGAAGAACAAACTGGGGAGGAGGGTAGAGAGACTGGTGCAGCAATGAAGGAATGAAAACCCAAAATCCCTGTAAATGTTCATTAAAACTAATAAAATTTAATAAAAAAAAATAACCCAGAGAAGAGAGATGATAAAGACGGGAGTGGTGGGAGGTGAGGCTGCAGAGGCCAGGACGAGCCAACTGGGCTGGTGAGCTGGAATTGTTTAAGACAACGAGAGTCAGGGGTCCAGCCCGGGGACCAAGGTGGGTGGGGGCATTTCACTGGGAAAAAGACAGGACAGAGGAGTGGTGTGGGCAGTGTCAAGTCCTGGGTCGTTGGCCAGCAGAGAGAGGGTTTGGGCAGCTGTGATGGGTATGGGAGATGATGCCCTTAGCGTTCATAGAATGAGAGGATGTACGGTGGACCCCTCACAGCCGAGGCCTGGGGACCCCTGACTCCTCTGCACCTGGCCCTGAGCCATGAACATCTCCAGCAAAAACAGAGAAGAAAGAAACTCTCCAGCCACCATGTTCCTTACACCAGCAAAAGCAGTGTGAACTTGGCTTGCAAAATAAACAAAGTCCAGCATAAACACGGCAAGAGGCGACCTGGCCCAGCTAAGCACACACGTGGCCAGAGTGAGCCCGAGAGCCAAGGGGACGCCTTCCCCGTGGGCAGCCCTGACCCACAGGGCATGAAGAGCCAAGCTGGCCAGTCAATCTCTCTGGGTCCTGGGTGTGTGTGAGAGAGAAAGACAAAAATGCTGGGCCATTAGCTGCTGCTACAGGGATTGTCCAGACACTGACTGCCAAACACTGTGTTGTCATAGCTGAGCCCTCCTCCACCAGCAGCCCTCCTGGCCACCTCGGCCACACAACAGCCAGCCTGCCGTCCCCAGCCAGGCCCTCAACTGTCCATTCTCTTAGACAGACCTTGTGTGTTTAAGAAACAATTCTTTTGTTCTGGCTCTTGACCTTGTCTCTGCCTGTCTGTGGCTGCCTGGGGACCTGCCAGCCCCCAGGAGCCAGGTGACCAAGCCATTCACTCAACCTCTCTATTTCTTCGCAAGGGAACAAAAAGAGTCCTTTCCAGGGACTAGGCGAAGCCGGCAGCAACGAGTGGGAGGCAGATGCCGTGTTTGTTCTCAGAGGTGTCCAGCCTGTGTGAGGGGAAGCTGGTGGGAGTCAGGCTGAGGAACAAGGGGGCTGGGGGGTGCCTGTGAGCGGGGTGGGGGTGGTGCAGGGCTGGCTGGGGTCAGCTGGCATCGCCCCCACAGGGGAGGGGGCGGCTGTGGGGTTTCCTGTCCCCAGCTTTCCTCGGTCAGCAGGATTGCGCTTGAGTTGTTTATGGACCCGATGGCTGAAGCGATAACCACGATGACATGGGGCCCGGGACATGCCACTGTGCCCTCTGGGCCTGGTGAGGACCTTTCCCAGGGCCTGTCCCCAAGGGGGTATCAGCCAAAAGTGGGGCAGCAGCCACAGAGCTTCGGGGATGGACCATCTCCATCTCACACCGCCACCAGCCTTCCAGGACCGGCTGAGGCCCAGGGGGCCTGAAACCTAGACTGGAGATCACACTCCAGGTCTCAGTCAGCTTGTGGCAGTGAGACAGGAGACCCTCGAGGCCCACATGGCCCTGGAATGGCTTTCTCCCCCAGGCTCTGGTCAGGACAACTGTGTGCCCCTTCTGTGCTCTCAGCCTTGAATATCCAAAGCTCCAGTGACCCCAGGAAACACCCACTTTGTTGCCCAAGCCTGATGAGGTATGAACCCCCAGTTCTGTGTCCCAAGACCAGCACTGCTCCCAGCCTGGCCCACAGGCCATGGCCAGCCAGAAGCTGGCTCGTCAGCACGTCCACGTTCACAACTGCAGCCTTTGAGGAACCGCGCCTCACACCCCCCACCACCTCCAGGACAGCAGGTCGGGTCTGGACTCCCACAGAGGGATCCAGCCTGCAGAGCTGAGGGCTGAGGTGCAGACAGAGAGGAGAGGCCAGGCCTGGTGGCTCCTTGGAAGCAGTTGAGGGGCCCCCTCAGAATGCTGGGGGTGGAAGACTCACCTTCCCAGGTGCCTGGACACCTTGGCTCAAGTAAGCTGGTTACCTTGTGGGGCGTTACAGGGCTGGGCAAGATGTTGAGGTCGAGGCCTAGGGTGCTGTCCTCTGCTCTGTGTCCCCTTTGATGTGAACACCCAGCCCTGTCAACTGCTCAAGCCTCCCCTCCCCTGGGGCTTCTCTCCTGTCATTCTGAGTGAGGGAGGGGAGCTGTGTCCAGGGACCTAGATCTGAGCTCAGGGCCCTGTGTGCTCTTCTGGGCCCCAGATTTCTTCCTGGTCGAGGGCAGGGTGCCAGCCCTGTGCTTACAGAATGCAGGCAAGCCCTGGAGGGGCTCAGGGACAGGGGTCACATGGCCCAGCTTATAGGCCAGTGTGAGGGCCAGGGAGTTCCTTGGATGTGCCCCTTCCCCTGATGGGCCCTGGGCCCCAGCCTCACAATGACCAGCCACCCTAGGCCAGACAGAGGAAGGTGGGGGTGGGGGTGGAGAGGGGGCCTGAGCTGCAGCCCGGGACCAGCACAGGGTGGGCGGCTCGGAGCCGGCTGTCCCAGGAGCAGGCTGTGCTTGCCTGCCCGCTCTCCGCCCACCCAGCGGCAGTGAGGGTGGACGTGGGCCAGAGCCAGGCGTTGCCTGGGCAACCGAGGGCAGTCGCACTGGGGGCCCTACCAAATGCCTCTATTTTTAGCCTCTCGGCTACTTCCAGATAAACTGTGTAGACAGACTCGCCATTGGAGAGATAACGCCCGCTCCAGACCACTGACTCTTCAAAGACATAGGACCCAGCGGCCCAGCCTCCCCCCATGGCCCCGTTGTGCTGGGAAGGGGTGCAAGGGAGGTCGCTGGTGTGCGTACGTGCTGGTCAGTACAGGCGGAGGCCCTCGGGCACAGGTGTGCAGACTGGATGACACCCTGACACCCGGACCCTTCCCTGTCCCATGCAGGTCTGAGCTGTGGCCTGCCTGGCTAGGACAGCCCCCTTGGCCCACGTCTAAGCTGACCGCTCATGTTCGAGGCTGGGCCCCACAAGGCCCCACCTTCTTCCACAGTTTGCCCCATGGACCTGAGCTTCTGGGCCAAACAGGGAAGGCACAGCATGGAGCCTAGGTCAGCATGGCTTCCTCCACCTGGCCAAGGACCTACCCCTGCCGAGGTCACACCCCAGGCCAGCACAGAAAGGTCCTTGAGAGGTGCTGGTGCTGGTCAGCCCCCAAAGCCTGTGGCATGGTCCATCCCTGCCCAGAACATGCCTGCCACACACGAACCCCAAGGGCACAGACCAGAGGGGAGAACACCAGACTGCCTCACCTGACACCATGAGGGCACATGCCAGGGGCAGGGACCACACACAGCCAGCCACACCTGAACACTCCCAAGGGCACAAGCCAGGGGCAGGGATCGGGGTTGACCGTGTATTCCTGCCAGGTGGGTCTCCACACCCTCAGGAGGGGCTTGTGGGCACTTGTCAGAAGTCTGGCACACGCATGACTCCTCCCACGGGGACCAGTCCCCATGAGGGAGGGACAATCTCATCACATGAAGCCTGGTGTTGTGGGGGGTGGGGTGGGAAGGAGGGACAGAGGAGGGAGGATGGAGAGAGATGATGGAGGGATAGAGAGAGGGGAGAGGAGGGAAGGATGAATGGATGAAGAGATGGAGAGAGAGAGGACGGAGGGAGGGACAAATGGATGGAGGAGAAGGAGGCATGGAGGGAGAGAAGGGGGAAAAGGGGGAGGAGGGAGAGGAGGGAGAGAAGGGGAGGAGGGAGAGAAGGGAAGGAGGGGGAGGAGGGAGAAGAAAGGGAGGAGGAGGAGGGGGGAGGAGGGAGGGAAGAATGGATGGAGATGGAGGGATGGAGAGGAGGCCGAGGGTGGGAGATAGATGGGTGGACAGTGGATGGCCGGAAGGAGGGAGGGAGTACGGAGTGAAGGCCTCTGGGCACCATCTGAGTTTCTTGCTCACACTCAGGAAAGAGCCAGGTGGGAGATGCCACTCTGGGCAGTGCTGTATGGACCTCGACAACAGTGGGCACCGAAGTCACTCCCCCAGCCATGGGCACTCTGGCCCAGACACTCACTCCTACCTTGTCCTCCATCCGGTTTAGACGGGCCCCGATGGTGTTGTTGCCCCGGTCTTTGTTCTTCTCTGTGGGATAAAGCATTGACTCAGCTGCCTGTGGTGGCACTGGCCAGAAGCACAGGTGACGCGGGGGCCGAGAGATCTAAGCCTTGGTGGGCCACTATCAAGAGCGTGGGGTCACTTCAGGGGGTGGCAGGCATGAGCTGAGGCACCTGCGGGCTGGTTCCATCCCTTCTCCGTGCCTCGGAGAGCCCATCTGATGGGGACCTGAAACTCCCTGTTCCATAGATTCACTGTCACTGTGACTCTTCCTTCCATTGGCCTCAGCAAGGCCTGTGCCCGGCTGCTCCTGCCACTTCCTGCTGGCAGGTAACAGCTACCCCTTGAACTTGGCCTGGGGCAACCTCAGGAATGGGTCCTAGCTCTGTTCTCCTCACTGCCACTCACAGCCCTGGGTCTGGAGGACATGAAAAGTGGCCGCAGAGCAGGTGAACTGGTCACTGGGTCCCTGTGTCTGATCCTCCTCTTGTATCCTTAGGCCCACGAGATATCCCAGTGACGTCTCATCACTCAGTGGGCAACCATCCCTCAGGTCCACACCAGACCTCTCAGGGACTGAGGCTTGTGAAGGTGCCCTCAGGTCAGTGTCCTGCCCAGCCTCTGATATCCAACGCGGCCCCTTTGTAAAGCGTATTCGAGCCCTTGCCCAGGGTGTGGTCACCAGCCCTCTCTAGGGCCATTCTCTGTCCTCAAGGGATGTGACGAACCCGAGACACCCCCGGCCTCAGCGTACAGGTGGGGACGCACCTGAGATGGAGATGAACAGGGAAGGCTTCCCGATGGACTGATCCAGCCTGCAGGAAGGGAAGCAGACAGCTCAGATGTGCCCTGTACTCCAGGACCTTGGCAAGCTATGCCAGTGGGTGACTGGGGTGGGGGGATGCAGATAGGGAGGTGCCTATCCCCGAGGCCCTCCTCCCAAGGCCCAGGCTGGAGTGGAGACCAGGATGATCAGAGAGGGCAAAAGGGTGGACAGTCCACGCCTGAGAGCCCAAGGGGACAGGCCCTCACCCACAGGTGTCCTTGGGGGCTTGAGAGGATAAGCAGACCTCAAGTTGGGGAGGTGCACTTATCTCAGCCTGCGCACCCCGCCTTACACTGAGACACCCATGTGACTATCCCCTCTTGTCCTCCACACCCTCCAGCCCCTTGTCCTGTCTCTGCCTGCCTCTGTCCATTGCCACATGTCTGCTCCTGTGCCCCCGCCTGTGCTCCCCTCTGCCCCATGCCCTTTGCCCCATGTCCCATCCCATAATCCCTGGCTGTGTTCCCCCTGGCCCCTGTCCCATCCCATGAGCCGTGACTGTGGTCCCCGTGCCCCATGCCCTTTGCCCCCTGTCCCATCCATGAGCCCCAGCTGTGTTCCCCTGTCCCATCCTATGAGCCCCAGCTGTGTTCCCCCGTCTCATGCCCCATCCCATAAGCCCTGTGTTCCCCCTGCCCCCTGTCCCTTGCCCCACCCTGTGCCCCATCCCTGCCCTGTCATGCGTCTCTGTGCCGGGCTCACCTTCTCTGAAGCTCTTTGATCCTCACCATCAGGTTGAGGTGGCCCTGTGAGTACTGCTCAATGACATCCCGTACATCATACGGCTTCCGTGCTTGCTGTGGGGGAGGGACAGGTCAGCTCTGTCTGCCACCATCAGGGTGCGAGAGCTGCAGCCACACCCTCTCTGCCCCGTCCAGGCCTCCGCAGCTGGTGGTAGGTAAGCCAGAGGGTAGTATGGCCCACATGAAAGCCTCCTCCCAGGGCCTGGGCCCCCAGTGTCCAGGGACCCCTGTCCCTGCAACGTCAGCCAGGTAGGGCCCTCACTCCAGGAAGCTAGGGTGGAGCTGACCTCCTCTGTCCACTGTGCCTGATAGGACCTGGCACCTGCAGAGCAACCCTCATCCTTTCTTTGCTTGGGAGCCTGTGTACCCCAGGAAAGGTGAACTTGAGGCTCCCACGAGTGCCCCACAGGTCCGCCAAAGCTCCCTCTCCTCACCCCCAAGGGTAGGAGGTGTGCTGCACACCTACCTGGAACTTCTTCTTGGCCACAAAGTACTGCATGCGTCGGATGACCTTGATAGTGATCCGATGGTGCTCCCGGAGCCTGTGGGGAGAGAGGGGCGTGAGTGGCTACCACCCTGGTCATCTCTCGCCTGACCCTTCCCTGTGTCCCTGTGCCATGTTCCCTTCAGGACAAAGTGAAGTGTGGCTTTGAAGGACAGAGACCTCTAAGGCACGTCTACAGCCCAACAGAACGTGGGGACACTGCCCAAGCGTGGACCAGGGTCAGACGGTCCTGAGCCGAACCACTTCCAAGGCACAGAGAGCAAGCAGCACAGACACCAGGACACAGCCCGTCAGGCTCCTTAAACTTGACGTCAATGCCGTCAAAGTGGTACCATTCACCCCGGGGTACCATTCACTCAGAGATACAGCTCAGAAGGTAGCAAAACATGGGAAGGAAGGACCAATGGGAAACACAGGGCGCTGTTACAATGTGAGGGCTTTAAAGTTACAAACATAACCTACATGAACTTGTTGCAGGAGAAGCCCATTGGCTGGGTAAACTTTCTCTCAGATCACAATAAAAAGTTAAGAAAAACTCAGATGATAATATGAACTATGATTTTTATAATTTAGATACCAACATACTTTAAAAACACACTACATAAAAATGGACACTGGGAGAAACAGAAAATCTGAATGGTTGGTATTCAATGTACTACTACATTTAGAAATTTCTTGAAATTCCCACCACGAACACACTAAGCCTACGTGATTCTAAACAGCAGATTTTCCAAGCATTAGAGGATGCAGTAACATCAATTTTATACAAATCCTTTTAAAAGATAATAAAAGGGGGATGGCAATTTTCCAGTCCTTTTCAGAGGTGGTGTGACTTTGATATAAATATCTGACAAGGATATTTAAAAACCAGAAAGTCACAGAGCCCCTCTTTTATGAACATTGACGCAAATCACCTAAACAGAAGACTGGCTAATTGAATCTCACGTCCTATATAAAGACATATGATCAAGTGAAGCTTAATCCAGTTACGCAAGATTGGTTTAACATTTGAAAATCAATCAGCAAAATTCACTGCTTCAACAGAGTAAGTAAGGGGATAAAACCATAATCAACTTAGAAGATGCAGAAGAGCATTTCATAAAATTCAGGACCCACTCGTAATTAAAAACACAACACTTAGCAAACGAGGACGAGAAAAGAAACGCTGTTATCTTTTTAAAAAGCAGCATGAAGCAAGTGTCAGGCTTAACCGTGATCTATGACACACTCCTGCTGCTGTGGGGGACGGGACGAGGCTGGGAGCAGTCCCACCGTGTCCTCTAAACATCGCACAAAAAGCCCTGGTGACGGCTGAGGGTAGGAAAAGAAAACAATGGGCAAAATGGCCAGCCCAGGCGAAAGAAATGGCCATTATTCATGTGTGAGGAAATTCCCCAAGGATCTCAGGGGAAATGGCTGGGATTAAGAAATGAACTTAGCACAGACATTGCTTTTGTGGAAAAAAATACACACACACAGACACATATACACCCCCTGAAACAAAAGGAAGCCTAGTGTTGCAGTGGGTGGAGTCTTGCTGTTAACCAAAAGTTTGGTGGTTCGAACTCAGCGCCTGCCCCAGGGAAGGAAGGTGAGCCGCGGTTGCTGTAACGGCTCACAGCCAGGAGCCTCTGTAACAGTCCCCTCGGTCCTGCTGGGTTAAGGGGAGTCAGAATCCATGTGATAATCGAGAGTTGTGTGTTTATACCAAAAAAAAATCTTTTTTTTCTAGACTTCACCCACTCCTCATGGTTCAGCACGGTTAAGCTCCAGTGACCAGGCCACTGTGTGGAAGTAGGTGTTGGTGAAATCAGAAGGGCAGCACACAAGATCCCAATGTGGGGATATGAACAGACACTTCACCGAAGAAGACATTCAGATGGCCAACAAGCCCATGAAGAAATGTTCAAAATCCCTGGCTCTAAGAGAGATGTAAATAAAAACAACTATGACATATCATCTCATCCCAGTAAGAATAGCAAAATTTAATAGAACAGCAAACAACAACATGCTGGCGAGGTTGTG